TTTGCCCTAAAGGGCAGAGCTGAGTAGTTGAGACAGAGGCTGTATGCCCTGCATGCACAGCCACGAATATTTCCTCTCTGGTCTTTTACAGGAAAAGTTTGCCAACCCCTGATCTAGAAGAGCTCTCAGGAAAGGCTTCGAAGTTTATTCACAATAAGAAATAAATCATTTATCAGTGAAAGCTCCTAAAATATACTTTAAAAAATGTAACAGGTAAGACAAAGCATCAAATTAAAACAAGAAGCGAACAGACAAGAAAGAGGAAGAGACACGAATAATAATATTGCTGTATCTTATGTGCCAGATCCTCAGATAAGCACTTCTTTCAATAAAATTATTTCCTCTCCTTCCAGCAAGGCTACCAGACAGGCATCACTATTCTTTTTTTTTTTTTTAACCATTTAAAAAAATTGAAGTATAGGTAATTTACAGTGTTGTGTTACTTTCAGGTGTACAGCAAAGTGATTCAGTTATACATACACACACACATATGTATATATTCTTTTTCAGATTATTTTCCGTTATAGGTTATTACAAAATATTGAATGTAGTTCCCTGTGCTCTACAGTAGGTCATTTTTGGTTATCTACTTTGTATATAGTGGTGTGTATCTGTTAATCCTATACTCTTAATTTATCCCCCCCCCTTTCCCATTTGGTAACCATAAGTTTGTTTTCTATGTCTGTGAGTCTGTTTCTGTTTTGTAAGTAAGTTCATGTGTGTCATATTTCAGATTCCACTTATAAGTGATGTCATATGGTATTTGTCTTTCTCTGTCTGACTTACTTCACTTAGTATGATCATCTCTAGGTCCATCCATGTTGCAGCAAATGTCATTATTTTGTTTTTCTTATGGCTAACGTTCCATTGTATGTATATAATACATCTTTATCCATTCCTCTGTCGATGGGCATTTAGGTGGCTTCCATGTCCTGGCAGTTGTGAACAGTGCTGCCATGAACACTGGGGTGCATGTGTCTTTTTTCATTTTAGAGATGGGAAGCCTAAACTCAGAGGCCGAATGATGTTCCCTGGGTCACAAAGCACAAGACAAAGCCAGGATTTGACCCTACGGTAGTTTAGCTTCAAAACCACATCTTCGACCGTAACTTGAGAATTTCAGACACTGATGAACAAGCCACACTGGGCACGTACAGGGGAGACAGGATCTACCCGCTGGCCGTGAGATCACAGTTTCTCCAGGGCAGGAAGATGCAGAAATGAGGACCCATGAAGCCTGGCACAGATGTAAATGGAAGTACCTCTCCTTCCCCCATCATGACGTGGCTCTCCTGGCAGTAGACCAATGCTGGGCAGCTCTGTTTCAGGATTACAGCTGTGGGTTGTCCCCTTGGAGCTGGTCTTCAGGTGTTGACAAGAACTCCAAAGCAGATGGGCACATGAGGGTTTTATTAACCCAGGAGCTGTCAACTTCATGGCTGGCAAATGGGGGCCGGGGTTTTGGGGAAAACAATGAACGATCCAAGAAAACTTGCCATAAGATGAAAAACAGCTAGGAACACCCTAAGGGATGTAGCAACAGTCGTCGAACAGAGATGATAGCTGTTAAAGGAAAAATAAAGCGACCGTGGATTGGACAGGAGTTGGAAGTTTGACCTTGAAGCAGGGAATCGGATCCAGCAGAGAGTCTCGGCTCTGGAGGGTGAGGGTTAGGGGAGGAAAATATGGGTCATTTAAAGCCAAACACCCGTGGAACTGCCCATCAGGGAAACCCCATGTCTGCATTGCTGGCTGGGTGGTGAGAGTGGATTTTTTGGTTAGGTGAGCATCAGGCCGGCTCCAGGCGACGGCTGTGAACCTGGCCCACTGCAGACAGTGACTCTTAGCTGCCTCTGCTGTATAGGCGGGTGCCCGCGTCAGCTATGCAGGCAGGGAGGGATGTCCCAGAACGTCCTGTGCCATTCACGCTGCATCACGCTATTTCTAAAGCACACAGGAGGACATGGGGTTTCAGGAAAGTCCAGTGACTCAACTGAAATGCCACAGAGAAGCTAGATTCTCTGGGGAGCTCCTCTCCCCACCCTTGGCTTGTAAAGCACGTTCACTTTCTACGATTCTGTCTAAAACGAAGTGTTTAGACTCAGCTGTCAAGTAATTGCTCTTTTAAAAAATGTGGTCTGCAGAGTGACAAGGAATAACTATAGATATACGTCTGCTCTCACTTTTGCAATAGTGTGAGGTGATGACAAAATTTTAGCAACAACCGAAAATTACATGGAGGATCAATATTTTCCCAAATCTGCTGGTGTCTGCAGGATGCATACAGGTGACCCAAGGAGGAAAAGGATCCATGTTTAGATAAGTTTGGGAAACGCTGGATTACATAATTGCAAACAGGTTAATTTACCGCAGGATTTCTCAGAACTTTTCTTTTAAAAATAAATTTATTATTTATTTTTGGCTGTGTTAGGTCTTCACTGCCGCGTGTGGGCTTTCTCTAGTTGTGGCTGAGCGGAGGCTACTCTTCGTTGCGGTTCGTGGGCTTCTCATTGTGGTGGCTTCTCTTTGTTTTGGAGCACGGGCTCGAGGCGCGTGGGCTTCAGTAGTTGTGACACGTGGGCTCAGTAGTTGTGGCTCACAGGCTCAGTAGTTGTGGCACGTGGACTCAGTAGTTGTGGTGCACGGGCTCTAGAGCACAGACTCAGTAGTTGTGGTGCACAGGCTCAGTAGTTGTGGCTCATGGGCTCAATAGTTGTGGCTCATGGGCTTAGAGCGCAGGTGCAGTAGCTATGGTGCATGGGCTTAGTTGCTCCGCAGCATGTGGGATCTTCCTGGACCAGGGCTCGAACCCGTGTCCCCTGCATTGGCAGGCGGATTCTTAACCGCTGAGCCACCAGGGAAGCCCGGATTTCTCAGAACTTTTAACACACTTTCATGTGCTGGGACTCTCTCAACGGCAAACGGATAGTGTTCTCAAGTGTATTTGACAATAGAGAACCCCCAGTTCACGCCTGGGCTTTGTCATGGACACTCATGGGAGCAGCATTAGGGGAACAGTTGGGAAAACACCAGCCTCAAAATACCCTGAAATTCCAGCAAGACTAATACAGTTGTAATTTCATCCTGTTTGGAGGAGATTGCAAAATTTTCCTTATGGCAGGAGTTTTGTAGGTGAGCCCTCAAGACCCATCACATTGGGAGAGAAAACAGTTTTTCATGCTTGGGTCATCCTATACTTTACCTGAGTGAGAACCTGGGGCTATGATGGGTCCGTCACGGGAAATGAGGTACAGTGAACACGCAGGCGTCATGGGAGCCGCGGTGACTGGGAAGCTGGGGCAACATCTGCCCCAAGCCTGTGTCTGGGGAGCGATTTCTCACATTTTCAGCTCCCTTGGAAAGCTTGGATGATGTTTCCAGGCACAGACTTGTAACCACACCGACCACTGCATCGGAGCATGTGGTCAACCCCCCGCCCACCTGTGCTCCCTGCAAACCCTGAGCTCCACGACCCAAGACAAAATGAGAGGGGCCACAGGGTCAGGAAGGGCCAGGTGACACCGTGACCACAGCACAGCCTCTGCCTCCAAGGTCTGGGGTTCACCTTGGGTAAGAGGAGTGACGTTTCTTCTTTGTGTTCCCCAACCTGCCCAGACAATCCTGCAGCCACTTTGGTTCCGGGACTTCCGAAACTCTTCCTGGGCCAGCAGATCATTGTCTGTTCTAATCAGGACCATTCTGGCTCCTCTTTACATGTTCACGTCATCAGCTTTCAACACCAAGTGTATGGAAGCCATCTTTTCCCACACCTCCTGTCATTTTTGCTTCACCCACTTCCACAATTCATTGATTCCTTTGTTCATGGTCTTACATTTAAAATACCGATGTTTATTAAATGCCCCTGCCTTTGGGCATCATCCATTATGAGCTGTCCTCATCTGACAATTCTCTCCATCTTCCCATGGCTTCTAATACATTTGGGGAATTTTCTAATCCTCATTTCAGGATTTTATCTCTCTAGATAAAACATCTCGATGTCTAAAGACCAACATCCTGCAAATGTGGTATTAGTGAGGAGTTTTAGTATAAGGACTGTGTCTCCTATTCAACAGCCAAGACATGGAAACAACCTAAATGTCCATTGACAGATGAATGCATAAAGAAGATGTGGTACATATATACAATGGGATAGTACTCAGCTATAAAAAAGAACAAAATAATGCCATTTGCAGCAACATGGATGAACTTAGAGATTATCATACGAAGTGAAGTAAGTCAGACAGAGAAAGACAAATACCATATGATATCACTTACATGTGGAATCTAAAATATGATACAAATGATAAACTTATTTACAAAACAGAAACAGACTCACAGACGTAGAGAACAGACTTGTGGTTGCCAAGGGCGAGGAGGTTGGGGGGGATGGATTGGGAGTTTGGGATTAGCAGATGCAAACTATTACATAGAGAATGGATAAACAACCAAGTCCTACTATAGCAGACTTATAGCTATAGTATAGCACAGGGAACTATATTCAATATCCTGGGATAAACCATCATGGAAAAGAATCTGAAAAAGAATGTATATACATATATATATGTGTGTGTGTGTGTGTGTGTGTGTGTGTGTATGTATAAGTGAATCATTTTGCTGTACTGCAGAAATTAACACAACATTGTAAATCAACTATACTTCAATAAAATAAATTTTAAAAAAAGAACGTGTCTGTGTTAAGTTGGTTATAAAGAAAACTGCGAGACAGCCTGTAGGCTCATTAGCTGTGACTCTGGACAAGTAACCAATCCTTCTGGGCCTTGTTTTCCCCACCTATAAACTGGGGGAAATAATACTCCCAACTTCATTTGGTTAATACAAGGAGTAATTGAATTAACATATCTAAAAGGCTTATGAGAGCACCTAGAATATAGTCAATGACATACAAGCATTATATATTATTATTTCCACCATTTAGAATAAAGCATCTTAGAATAAAGTGTGGAGATTTTTTTAAAGTGTTTTTTTCTTTCTGTTTTAAGGCCCAGATTATGTAAAGGATCATCTCCCTAAAGTTGCTCAGCATACTTCCTATATAGGAGAAAAGCGTCCTGCATTAGAAAAAACTGGAGATCTCAGATATTTACAGAGGCCTGCCTCAAAGAGAAGCTTGCCGGCCAGATATAAACCTGAGTATGTTGGTGAAATTGGTTGGGGAATACCAGTGTATGATTTTATCAACAAAACAAGGCTTCAGACTGGCTTTCGCGTTAAGGTATTTTTCTTAAATCTATGCTCCTCCTTGCACATTGTTTTCCGGTTTGAAAGCTTTCTGAGTTTGCTTCCGTGGGAAACGTCATGTTCTCGACCTGTCCTTGAGAAGCAATGGCATTGGAGTTTTTGCAGAAAAATGAGTGTGTGAAAAAATGTACTTGCTGCTATCACTCCCTTCGTCCCTTAGTACCGGCAAGGAGAGGTGTGAAGGGAATGAAGCCGAGGGCACTCCAAGAGCATTTGCACTTGGCTTTGGAATGCATCCAGATTCCCATCTACGCTGTGACATTCACACAGGCTCCCCCATCCTTGCAAGGCTTGGCGAGTGGGTGGTGTTAAAGCAGCAGGCCTGTGCTGCACTTCATCCACCAGCCTAGAAACCAGCCGCAGGGCTCTAAAACCCACTGTGTGGGTCATGCCTTAAATCAGACCACCCAGGGCACGCAGTCAGAGGGCTCTCGCGAAACTTGTCTGTCTCCGTTTGGTGATGTGGATGTGGGCGTGACCCCACACGTTCTCCTCTGAAACAGGAGAGAGCACGGGTGGTTTTAGAAGCAAAATCTGAGGATTCTGACTTTTTCCCAGGCGAGACTTGACCTGAAAATATGTATCAACGATGCAGTAATTGGATTTCTTAAGGCAATATAGTACAGCCTCATATAGTAAAGGTTAACAAAGGAAAAAGCCTTTTTCTGGCCAACCCTCGGCAAGTACAGGAGAGCAGCTGGGAGCTCAGTCTTTGAGGTCAAGAAGGGTTCCACTCCTGCCTCTGAGTCAGGTCCAACTCTGCGACCCTGGGCTTGAGTTCACCTCCCTGGGTCTCCATGCCTCCTCTGCCCCGTGGCGGTGTTAGAGTGCCCACTTCCTAAGACCACCTGAATTCCTATCCCACTCCTGCCACCTGCTAGCTGTGAGTGGCCTTGGCCAGTTCCTTGACCTCTGTGCCTCTTCGTCATGAATCTGCGCATTTGCTTTATCAGGCTGTCGTAAAGAAACATTTGTGAAGTGCTGGGCACCGTGCCTGGAACACATCAAGGCTCTATGTCTTTTATGTTTCTTAACTTCCCAGCATAAGGTTTTCCTAGTTACATACAAAACCCAAAAAGCGAAAACCCTTTTAGGTTAAGTTAGGAATAAAAGAGAACTTCCCTAATCTGACAATCTACAAAAAAAACAAAAAACAAAAAAATCCTATAACAATAGCAATACTGAATGATAAAACATTGAAAGCATTTCTCTTTAAGATCAGGAACAAGACACAGATTCCCCAAATCATGAGTTTTTCATTCAGCTTTGTACTGGCGGTCTTAACCATGGCAGTAAGGGGGAAAAAAAGTATAAAATGTGTAAGGATTGAAATGGAAGAAGCAAAGCTATCATTATTTGCTAATAATATGCTTGTCCATGTAGAACACCTCAAAGTATAAGAGAATTTGGTAATCAACAGGATACAAAATCCAGGTATGAAAATCGATTTTATTTTTATATATGAGAAACAGACAGAAAATGCAATAAAACAGGATACTAGTTACGGCGTCGTCAACAGGTACAAAGTATGTAGGAATAGATCTTAAAAAAGGATATACTGGTACAACATTGTAAATCAACTACACTTCAATAAAAAAAAAGATGTTCAACACACGGAGAAAAATGATAAAACTACTGAAACAAGATCTAAATAAATGGAAAGATATATCATGTTTATGAATTGGAAGATTCAATATCATAAAGATGTCAAATCTATCAGATTGATAAAAGTAATTCCCATGCAATTACAATAAAAATCCCATTTTTTTTTTCTGAAAAAAAAGACTATGTCTTAGCATGATTCTTGTCATGTCGTGACTTCTAAATACGAGGGCATGAGGAACGCGCCCTGCGTGGTGCCCGGCACGCAGTTGACACCCCGATTTCAATGACTGGGACTGTGGTTTTGTACTTAATGTCACTCAGGGCCAGTGACACAGAATGAGGGCTCAGGTTCCTAAACTGGGTCTTACTCCACTCAGGCGATAAAGATGAAGATCAGAAACTTGATTCGATATCAAAAGTGGCCACCAGTGAGAAGAGGACAAACGCAAAAGCAAGGCAGCCAGTTTGAACAGAGTCCAGAACATCTGTTGCCTTGTTGCTTCTCTCCAGTGACGCCGGGCTTTTGTGCACAGCCCTTGATCTGTTGCCCATCTTGAGTGTGTGCAGCTGTGAATGCAAGATTCACATCAGCCTTGACTTAGCCTTCCAGGAAGGGATTTATTCGGTTTCTTTTGATGGAATTTCACAGACGGCTCTAAATCCCCGCTCTGCGTGATAGCACGGTCCTCTTAACCCTGGTGGGACTGAGTGTGAGCCATACAGAGACCTCCACCCCGCCGCCCAACCCCGTGGCTCACACAGAAGCTGGTCTTGTTTGGCATAGGCTGTGAGGACTTGTCATCTGTGCATTTTCTTGGCCCCAGCATTTTGACAGTAATTGTTTTCAAAGATGTACTTATCTCAGGTAACGATCTTAAACAAGTCTTAAAGGATTCCTTGGACTTAGAACTTTATCATGAGAGCAAAAAGATGCACTGAGAATGACTGTACATGCAGGTCAAGAACCACATATGATTTACCCACCAGCTAAGGCCTAGGATTTGTCACCAAGACTGCCAACCTCCCCCAACCCTGCACCCAGGGCCTGCTTCCATCCCCTGCCCCCCAAGGTCAGCTTCTGAGTCAAGCCCCAGACTTGGATACCTTAACAACGCAGAGCTCCAGGCAGCCCCTTCCAATCAGTGAGACTTGGCTGGAAGTGACGTTTGAGCTGATAGATACACACTCCATGCCTAGAAACAAGCCCCTAATCACAAATAACACGTGAGCACCTGTGCCATGAATTCACACCTCCTTGATGGGGAGCTGGTCCATTCCTCCGTGCGATGTAACCCAGGGCAACGTCTGCATCCGCGTCCTTTTCTGTCTCTGGCTTCTTGTCCTTGGTAGCCCTCGATCCCATCCCCGTGACATCTGTGTCTGTAAGAGTCCCACCAAGGTGGCACTTTGTTTCTGTCTAACCTCAGAGATTCCTCGGTGGCTCCCACCGAGATAACTCAGAACTTTGATTTTAAGCACAAACCTTCACCTAGTGGATTTTTATAGCCAGAACAGCTGCTCTTCCTAATTTCCTGCTCTAGGTTCCAGTAAGACCAGCAGCTAAGGAAGCTCGGGCACCTGCAGTAGACTCTCGGTAACATGCCTGGGGCAGCTGCTTCCTGCTCAGGAATGGTCTCTCCTCTCTGGGGCACTGGGAAGGGGTCTGTAGATCATCTGGATTTGGGTAGAAAGATAGTAACTTCCAGGCTGAGTGACACCTGAAAAAGTTCCCACATTGCAGTGGACAGTGAAAATGACAACATCGGGTCTCTCTTCTGGGTCTTTCTGTGTTTGGCTATTTCCTGCTCGGATGTGGGGCTGCAGTGTAATGATGATGCACGTGTAATAAACCAGTAAAGATCACTGCTTTTGTTACTGTCTCAGATTTAAGAGCAGTACATTCTTCTTCTTCTTTTTCTTTTTTTAAATGGATTTGGTCTTTGCCAAACTATGTGTGTTGTTTCTGCAACAGTATATGGAGACCAGTGAAACAATTCCTTTGGTTTCAAACTGAGGAGCATGTCTAAGTGGTTCGTAGCTGGGTTCGTAGTGGTTTGTAGCTAAGCGGTTCGTGTCTCCCTCCCCTGGCCTTTCTTTAACCCAATGCCTGTTTTCTACTCCTGCATCTGACCTCAGGGCCAGATGATTTGACACTTGGTTTTCCCACAAAAACAATGCGATACTGGACTTGAGGACTGACTCTTCATAGGTGTGGTCCCAAAGACAATATTAAATCAGTGAATCATAACAGCTATTACCACCAATATATCATACGGTATAATACCTTGAGCGATGTGTAGAAGATAATGAAGAGAACCTTGGGGACGCGCCAATAATATATTTATATGGGATACAGTGTCATATCATAAAAAGGAAAGTTTTTGAGGCTTTGAAACTCCTGCCTCCTGTTTATCTGCCCCAAATTCCCATGTTATGAACACAGAGGGCTTCTCTGAGTTTCATGGACATGGGAACAGACTTCCTGATGGATGTCGAATAAATCAATCCAAGGTCGGTGGCTTTATGAGACATTTTTCTCACTGCGAATTTATTTAGAGAAAGTAAACATAAAAAGAGCTCTTGCTGTGGGAATGTAAATTGGTGCAGCCACTATGGGAAACAGTATGGAGGTTCCTCAAAAACTGAAAATACAGCTACCGTATGATCCTGCAATCCCACTCCTGGGCATATATCCAGACAAAACCATAATTCAAAAAGATACATGCTATGTATAGCTGATTCACTTTGTTATACAGAAGAAACTAACACACCATTGTAAAGCAATTATACTCCAGTAAAGATGTTTAAAAAAAAGATACATGCAATGTTCATAGCAGCACTATTCACAATAGACAAGACATGGAAACAAGTGTCCATCGACAGAGGAATGGATAAAGAAGTTGTGGCACATATATACAATGGAATGTTACTCAGCCATAAAAAAGAATGAAATAATGCCATTTGCAGCAACATGGATGGACCTAGAGATTGTCCTACTGAGTGAAGTATGCCAGACAGAGAAAGACAGATATCATATGATATCACTTATACGTGGAATCTAAAATATGGCAGAGAGACTTCCCTGGCGGTCCAGTGGTTGCGACTTGGTGCTTCCACTGCAGGGGGCACGGGTTCGATCCCTGGTGTGGGAACTAAGACCCCGCATGTCGTGCAGTGCGGCCAAAAAATAATAAAATAAAATATGACAGAAATGAGCTTATTTATGAAGCAGAAACAGACATAGAAAACAAACTTTTGGTTACCAAAGGGGAAAGGGGGAGGGGGAGGGATAAATTAGGAGCTTGGGATTAACATGTACACACCACTATGTATAAAACATAAACAACAGGGTCCTACTATATGGCACAGGGACCTATATTCAGTATCTTAATAATAAACCCTAATGGAAAAGAACATGAAAACATATACATAACTAAATCATTTTGCTGTACACCAGAAGCCAACACAAGTGTATGTCAGCTATGCTCCAATAAAATAAATTTTTTTTAAAAAGAGCTCCCGTTGACTATTTACTATGTGAGGGAGGCACTGTGATCGGTTTCATCTTACAGAGGAGGGGTCGGAGATATTGACAGCTGAGGCCCCTTGCCTGAGGCCGTACAGCTGGTCAGTGATGGAGCTGGGATCTCAGCCCAGGCCGAGAGCTCAGGGACTTCGTGGGAGCCCAGCGTGTGTGAGAGGAAGTGACAGGAAACGAAGTCGGAACACGGGGCTGGAGCCGCTGGGCGAGGCGCTCATCAGGGCGAGCACTTTTCCCCGAGGCAGTGTCCGCCCGGGTCAGTCCCGGTTGCCTTGTCTCCTAAGGGCCCGTCCTTTCTTCACGGGGCCTCAAGCCTCTCCCGGATCCCCACCACTCCGTCGTTTGCACACAGATGCTGCATTCATCGTAGTAAAATGAATCATCAGTAGTGGGTATCACCCACATATTTGACATAATAAGAAAGAGCTTAGTAATAGTTATTTTCTTTTTTGTTTCTTTATTAAATCTTAAAATTTTTTTTTTGGAGTAGAGTTGATTTACAATCTTGTGTTAGTTTCAAGTGTACAGCAGAGTGATTCAGTTATACATACATATATATCTATTTTTTCCAGATCCTTTTCCCTTATAGGTCATTACAGAATATTGAGTGAGGGTCCCTGTGCTACACAGTAGGTCCTTGTTGTTTACCTATCTTATATATAGTAGTGTGTATATGTTAATCCCAAACTCCTAATTTATCCCTCCCCTCCCCTTGGGTAACCATAAGTTTGTTTTCTATGTCTGTGAATCTATTTCTGTTTTGTATATAAGTTCATTTGTAATTTTTTTAAAGATTTCACATATAAGTGATACCATACGATATCTGTCTTTCTCTGTCTGACGTACTTCACTTAGTATCATAATCTCTAGGTCCATCCATGTTGCTCCAAATGGCATTATTTCATTCTTTTTATGGCTGAGTAATATTCCATTGTATAAATGTGCCACATCTTCTTTATCCATTCGTCAGTGGACACTTAGGTTGCTTCCATGACCTGGCTATTGTAAATAGTGCTGCAGTGAACATTGGGGTGCATGTGTCTTTTCAAATTATGGTTTTCTCTGGATATATGCCCAGGAGTGGGATTGCAGGGTCATATGGTAGCTCTATTTTTAGTTTTATTATTTTCCAGTTTCTGTGTAATAAGCACTCTAGAGTGCTTCAAAACGTATCATTGAATATTATCTGTGGCATTCTGGAAAAAAAAAGAGAAGACAGTAAAGTTCCCCCCCTAAACTGTACCTTCTTTCCAGCCCCACCCTGTGCATTCTCCCAAACCCACTTCCACACGACAGCGTCCCGGAAAATTTTCAAAATCACCTAGAAAAGAGAAGTATTGTTGGTGTGGAGTTGATCAGTATGTAGACCACCAATCACACATTTTAGAATTTCTGGGTGTTTTTCCCCCCAAGCTTCTCATTTACCTTTGGGTTCATTTGGGCAAATCACAAACAGTCTCATTAAAATTCCTAAGATCTCACACTCCTAATCTCCAGATGTTATTATCAATATAGAAGACTTTTGAAAGATAATAAAGCTTCCTTTTCCAACCAACTTATAAGAGCAAAATAGAAAATAGCTTTCCTAAAATTAGGAGCGCCTTGGGATGGCTGCTGTTTCTTTCCCAGATGGGTGTGTGTTTATTTCTCACTTTATATTTCTTAGAGTTATTTGCATCCTAACAGTTTGTCGTTTAATATAAAAATAATTACATTAGCACCTTTCATCCTTAAGTGCTGTGTAAAGTAATGGCTTTCCTGGTACCACGGGAAGCCTCTGGTAGGGGAGGGCCACATGCTGACCGTCTATGAAGGAGAAGAAACCTTGGCTACAGAAGCCAAATAACCCTCCTTTTTCTTGAAAATAATGTATTAACATCATCAACCCCCTTGTATGCAAGTGTTATATTTTCTCCATTTTATAAAACCTGGCTTTATATAGGATTCCTCAAATAAATTGAAGGAACTTACTTGTATCCGAACTCCCAGAAAATAAGTTTTTAATTTTGATGCTTCCTTTCTGGAACAGACCATGAAAACAACAAGCGAGGCACATATCACTGAGATGCACTCTCTGTGCTGTGTTCAAAGCCATTCCGTGAAGAATAGCGGGTTTGGAAGGAGAAGCACCTCTGCTGATAGCTGGGGACACTGCCACTCCACATGTCACCAGGCATCCCAGCCCCGGCCAAATGTGGGCTTCCTCCTTGTGGCTGTGAGTTTATGGATGATTATTGGTGAATTGGAAAAAAAAGACATCCTCATGTTCACATCTTTTGTTAGGATGTGGAAATGTGAAAAGAAAGAAAGAGAGAGAGAGAGAGAGAGAGAGAGAGAGGGAGAGGGAAGGAGGGAGGGAGGGAGGGAGGGAAGGAGGGAGGGAGGGAGGAAGAAAGGAACTCAGTGTAATTTAGAGTCTAGTGAGTGATTTTATTCCTAATTAAGGAAGGCTGCAAATACACCATGGTGGTCACTAGCTTTTGTAAGTCTTGACGTGCATCTTGAGTTTGCATCTCAATGTAAACATCACCTTTTTAAAAAATTACACCTCTTAAAGTTAGTATTAAGCATGTGCCATAGGTTTTCAGCGAATAGTATTTGAGGATGATAGGGAGATAGAAAGCTAAGAAAAAGTTGCATAAATCAGAATGGGGTCTAGTAAACCTGACGTTGGCTCCACAGCCAGGGTCCTTTAAATTTACTGTCAACAATTTGGAAACTTGTGCGTGATCTAATATCCCAAGCACAGGTGCTAAAATACCAGGACGTATGTTTTCTAAATCTTGGCTTTTTAAGATCTTTGGAGGAAACTCTAATAGCATTATAAATTGAGGATTATACTTTTCCCTACTATTCATATACACCACTTCCGGGGTACCTCCGCTGCTTTGACAAAAATGCATAGAATGCATAGCAATCTGGAGATATCTATTCTCTTCCCAGGACTGAACCTAGGATCCAAGAAATCTTAATTGAGCAAATTGAAAACAACCCATTCAATAGAGGGGCCCCTGGTATGCGGTCCCCCTGTCTCTGGGCACAAAGAAAATGGCATTGAAAATCAGTGCTTTGGAAGCCTTGTGGGCTCCTGCAGCTGGGGAGGAATTCGTAGGAAGTTTCTCTGTGCTGTGATCGTTGTTGAAGTTTTTGGTGAGACAGTCGGTCTCCACAGTGCCAGCCACATCCCAAACGGCTGTAAGCACCTTGAGGTCTGAGAGCTGTGTCGTACTTGGCTTTGTACCGACAGCATCCACAGCCCTCTGTGCCGTGCTTAGCACAGTGTACATGATCGTCAAGAAATGATGGGAGACGGAGACTGAAATCCCATTCTTTTCTCATTCAGAGTCTTTGTTAAGAGACCAAGTTGCAGAAGGAGGGGGGAGATGAGCTTTTAAGTGTGTGTGAGATTGAGAATTATTTTCCTCCTAGCTTATTCAATAGTCATTTGAGAACTACTTAGCCTATATATTTTTTTACTGAAACTTAGTTATACTGTTATGTTCACAGTGCCTGAGCTACCACCCCCAGTGTAATTCTGTGTTGTAGAGCTAACTGGACAGTTAACTTGGAACACTCTTCCTAACCTTTGAATTAACAACAGTGCCAACACATTAGGAAACTCCAAGGGTAAGAACCAACCAGGCACTTGATTATATTTCAGAAACTGTGTACTGGGCACAAGCAGAGACTCGGGAAGCTCCCATGTCGCTTTTCTGTAGGTTGAATAGTTGAATCCACTCGTATTTCAGACCCTGGTAGGGACCTTCTGCTAACTCTGGATAAAGGGCTGGTAGCAGAGTGATTGGTTACTCATCACATATCCTAACAATTCCCAACAGAATAAGTTCTAGTCTTGCTTTAAAATAAAATTCTAGTGTATCTTGAATTATCACGTGAATAAGGAAAACATGAATCTCTCTGGGGAAGTGCAGAAAAAAATAATAGAAATGTGCCTTCTCTCTGAGAGTAAATGAGGCAGCGAGGATTCATAGTGCTTTTCAGGGCAAATCTATGCCTTAACGAAAAACTGAATACGCAAAAGTAGCCTGTTGAAGAAATGTTCATGTTCCCTCTTTTCTTTCTTTGCATGCTAGTCTGCCTACTGTTCTTTATAATGTCTCAGTTTTTGCACCTATAAAACGGGCATTGCATTAGTTTTCTGTTGAGCATAACCTAATACCACATAGCATCTCAAAGCAACACCATTTATTTGCTCACAGTTCTATAGGTCAGAAGTCCCGGGAAGGCCTGGCTGGGTTCTCTGCTCAGCACTCACTAGGCTGGATGCAAGGTGTTGGCTGTGGCTGTGATCTCACATGAGGCTTGGAGGCTCTTCCGAGTTCATGTGGTTGTGGCAGCTTTCAGTTCCTTGTGGTTGTAGGACTGAGGTCCCATTTCTCTGCTGGCTGTCAGCCAGGGACCAGTCTCAGCCTCGAGAATCTGCCCACATACCATAGCTATGGTGCCCTCCATCTTTAAAGCCAGCAACAGACATTCTCCCTCATGTCCAAATCCCTCTCATGCTTCAAATCCCCTTTGCCTGGAAGAGCCCAGATCCTTTCAAGAGCTCACCTGATGAAGTTTGGGCCACTGAGGATAATCTCCCTTTCTTACAGTCAACTGATTTGGGATCTTAATTACATCTGCAAAATCCCTTCACAGCAGTACCTAGTATTTGGTTGAATATCTGGGAGAAGGTGTATATACCAAGGAGCGAGAATCTTGGGGGTCTTTAGAATTCTGTCTTCCACAGGGATAATAACAATAACTTAGAGTGTTGTTAAATGGATTTGGTGAGATGTGTGTAAAGCACTTAGCATAGTATCTAGTACAGACTCTAGTACAGTCTCAAGAAATGGGATCTAGTATTATTAATGTCTCTATATACCGTATTTTCTTGCCTACATGGATTTTTTTAGCTCACTTTATTGTTTTTTTATTTTTTGGCTGCGTTGGGTCTTCGTTGCTGCACACGGGCTTTCTCTCTAGTTGCAGTGAGTGGGGGGACTCTTCACTGCGGCGCATAGGCTTCTCATTGGTGGCTTCTCGTTGTGGAGCACGGGCTCTAGGCACGTGGGCTTCAGTAGTTGCAGCATGCGGGCTCAGTAGTTGTGGCTCACAAGCTCTAGAGCCCAGGCTCAGCAGTTGTGGCACATGGGCTTGGTTGGTCCTCGGAATGTGGGATCTTCCCGGACCAGGGATTGAACCCATGTCCCCTGCATTGGCAGGTGGATTCTTAACCACTGCGCCACCACGGAAGTCCTGGATTTTTAAATTATGTTATGATAAGCACATTAGAAACATAATGGAATATGTTTCTCATTATCTGGATACTCCACAGAAAACACATACTGGGGCCAGAGTCAAGGAACTCATGAAACTTAATGTTTAGTCTGTTTGCTGAAAGTTGACGTACTAATTCAAATTAAATAAACAGTGCAGTTAAAAAAAAAAAAAAAGGGAGACCAGGATATAATTCATGTTGGTACTCAACTCAGGCTCACGTATAATGTGGCATAAAATGAAGTATGAGCCTCTGCATTGTTCAATTTTTGTTTTTTAGTGAGAAAAATGCATCACAGAATCCATGCCTTGAGCACTGACATTTTTCAGAGAGAACTGTTTTGTTTCTACTCCTACTCTGAATATAAAATGAATGCTTCAAATGCGCCATGTACACAAAGGCTTGAAGCCCCCCTTTCTCCCTTCAATAGTTCCAGTCTAGAATAGGCAGCATTATGCAATTTGGTGACCCAATGCCAGCAATGAGAATGCTTCTCACTGGCTGTGGGAAGAAAGACACCTAAGCGGTTAACAGTAATATTTTGCAAATGGAAGCAAGTGAAGAAAAAATTACATTAGCATAAGAAAAGGTAGCCTTAGGGGATTTTCCACTCCAATGTTTGGTACTAAGAGCTCTATGTTACAAAGGAGGAGGATGGCGAAGAGAAACTCTAGTGTCCACACATTCTTGAAACGCATTGCCATTGTACTCATTCTGCTGGCGAGAAAGGCCTCATCGTTACAGAGATGGAAGACGGTCCTTTCTAGTAAGGAAAGTCAAATTGGGTACATTAGGAAAAACTTCCTGAGCTAAGTATAGCAAGAAAGCAAGAGAATTCCTCAGTGATGGGAGTTCTAGACTAGAGGTGATTTGGGATTAAAAATGACATTTTTAAGCAATGATTTTCATTGTTAACTAGGATGGGCCCCAATGTCTGTGATTAATTTAACTCAAATTTAACAGCTCATTTCAGAAATTGTGTCTCATTCACAGTACCTGAATGTAATTACCAGACATATCCTTTTAAATTAATACCTAGACTTATTTAAAGGTTGCTTAATAGGGAATATCCAATTTCAAGTTATGATTATTGTCGCTAGTTGAAAACAATCTTTTTTTTTTTCAGATTCCACATGTAAGTGATATCATATGGTATTTGTCTTTCTCTGTCTGGCTTACTTCACTCAGTATGATCATCTCTAGGTCCATCCTTGTTGCTGCAAATGGCGTTATTTCATTATGGTTGAGTACTATTCCTTTGTATATATACACCACATCTTCTTTATCATCTGTCAGTGGTCACTTAGGGGATTTCCATGTCTTGGCTATTGTGAATAGTGCTGCTACGAACACTGGGGTGCATGTATCTTTTCGAATTATGTTTTTCTCCAGATATATGCCCAGGAGTGGGATTGCTGGGTCATATGGTAACTCTATTTTCAGTTTTTTAAGGAACCTCCATACTGTTCTCCATAGTGGCTGTATCAATTTACATTCCCACCAACAGTGCAGGAGGTTCCCTTTTCTCCACACCCTCTTCAGCATTCGTTATTTGTAGACTTTTTAATGATGGCCATTCTGACTGGTGCGAGGTGATACCTCATTGTAGTTTTGATTTGTATTTCTCTAATAATTAGCGATTTTGAGCATCTTTTCATGTGCCTGTTGGCCATCTGTATGTCTTCTTTGGATAAATGTTTATTTAGGTCTTCTGCCCATTTTTCTATTGGGTTGTTTGTGTTTTTGATATTGAGCTATATGAGCTGTTTGTTATTTTGGAAATTTATCCCTTGTCAGTTGCCTCATTTGAGTTTGCTACTTTTTGATGTTACGAATGTAGCATCCTGCATCAGTGTAAAAATGCATTCCAAAACTGAAGTGAAGGGCTTCCCTGGTGGCGCAGTGGTTGAGAATCTGCCTGCTAATGCAGGGGACGTGGGTTCGAGCCCTGGTCTGGGAGGATCCCAGATGCCACGGAGCAACTAGGCCCGTGAGGCACAACTACTGAGCCTGCGCCTCTGGAGCCTGTGCTCCACAACAAGAGAGGCCGCGACAGTGAGAGGCCGGCGCACCGCGATGAAGAGTGGCCCCCGCTTGCCGCAACTAGAGAAAGCCCTCGCACAGAAATGAAGACCCAACACAGCCAAAAATAAATAAATTAATTAATTTTAAGAAATAGACAAAACTGAAGTGAAGTACTTTTGATAATCCTTATCACTGTTTCCCAACCCTAGTATGGAAAATCGAGAATTGATTAAGGCCCCGAACCCTTTTCAGTATAAATTTGACACCCCCATTTCCCATGTTTATGCATAAAATGTGTCCTCCATTGACAGTTCCTGGGGAAAAGAGGCCAGTTTATAGTCATCTGTTCAGTTATGAGAGATAATTTCTAGGCACAGGGACGGGCACGGGGATATGTTTTCATGTGAGAACTAGTTCTAAGCAACCAAATATTTTATCGACGTTCTGTGATGCTTTCTGAAAGGAACATTCAGAGCTAGACTGCACCACAGGCTGTCTGTCACCCAGCTCTTTCCTGTGCTATAGCCACCACATTTCCTAATTCTGTGAGGGCAAGGTGAGGTGGAAAGAGCTGAGCTGTTTGAATCTAAATGCTAAATTGTGGTTTTGCATGCCTGCTGGTGTAGACACAGAATCATTAGGAGCTTAGAGATTGGGGATGACACTCTTCTTGGGACCCAGCACCTGTCCTTTGACAGAGGGGGAAGGGAAAGCACAGAGGCTCAGAGTTATTTTACCTCTTATGCCTTTTCCTCTCAGTTCAAAAATCAAAAGACCATCTTCTTTCAACTGAACTTAGCATTTCCTGTTTAATTGCTCAAACTGACCTCCTTTTTGAGCAGGAACCCAGACTCTCAGACATGTTTGTGCCCAGTGACATTGGAATCAGGGGACTTAATTCATGTTCTTCCTTTTACAGTATGAAGAGTTCAGTCAAGCTGCTGTTGAGAAACTAAGCCACAGATACCAGAACCCATGGTAAGCACATACTAATACATTTTACATCAGTTAATTAATGTGTTTCCTTCCTAAATTAGGAACAGGGTTAATATTTTAAAACTTTTTATGTCCTATAGGTTTCTTTGTATAATTATGAATTTTTATTCCTCATAAACAAAATGTTCACTATCTACTAGGTTTTCATTAAGGGGAGGAAAGAGGTGGGGCAAGTGTGGTGAGAGCACAGTGGAGAAAAAGGAACCAGCCTGTTAAGAACAGCCACTGGACGGGTCCGGTAGCTTTAACTATATAAATCTTTTTGTGGAAGAAGAAGAATATAATTTTTTTGGTTAAAAAAAACCCTTATGGGACTTCCCTGTTGGCACAGTGGTTAAGAATCCGCCTGCCAATGCAGGGAACATGGGTTCGAGCCCTGGTCTGGGAAGATCCCACATGCCACGGAGCAACTAAGCCCGTGTACCATAACTACTGAGCCCACGCGCCGCAACTACTGAAACTTGAGCACCTAGAGCCCATGCTCCGCAACAAGAAGCCCACGCGCCGCAACGAAGAGTAGCCTCTGCTCGCCACAACTAAAGCCCATGCGCAGCAACAAAGACCCAACGCAGCCACAAATAAATAAAAATAATTTAAAAAGTAAATAAAAAAATAAAAATTTAAAAACGCTCATTTCATGGTGTTGGCCTAGAAACCATCATAACGGGTCATGCTGGTTAATAAACATAGCCCTACTGAAGTCACAGCATGGCTTGAATTGACACTCTCTTAAAGCAGCTGGTAACCTAAATTAAACATGCCTAGTGCAAGGTGTGTTCAATTACGGGAAAAGCAAAACCTAGGCGTGTCATCTAGATGGAACATATAATTCAGATTTCTAAGAGGGAAAGGGATCAATCAGCATTGCTCTTAAAGACTGCAGATTCAATAATGTCTTTGTTCTCCTTAGACTTTTGCAGGTCAGGGTTTCTGGAGCCGACTTCACCTCCTTTTTAATCATTGAAGATTCCCGTTATTAGCATGGACAAAATTAGTGGATTTTAGTCTGTTTCTGCTATATCACCACAACATAAGCTGCATCAAAAAGAAACAAGACCATAAACCCCATGTCAAATGTCTATTAGTTACTATGATACGATCCAGGACAACAAAAGATATCATTGCACAGTTCCTACAACTTACAAAGCATGTCCTATGTTTAAAGCCATGGAGAAATAGTTACAATTATTGCATGCAAAGCACATGTTCTCATTTAAATATTCCACTTCATTTGTTCAAATAACATTGCGAGCACCTATTTACAAATACCCTATCAAATATTTCTAAGCAAAAACAACAAAAATAATGAAAGGCCATTGAAAATCACAGTAACTTCAACAAGCATTGGTGATACAAGTGTGAACATCTGCTCCACTTATTTAAACATAAAAAACTTGTTGGAAAGAATCTGAGAAATATTGACACTTTGAGCATTTTCCTTGGATGAAAGAATGTTGGCTACATTCACTTGTAGGGAATATGACATGGATTGTACCAAGTCATGAGGATGCAAAATGTTTATGAGAAAGACCTTGTACCGAGGGAATTGTGGATTCAGTTGGGAAATTGTAGATGAATATATAGATCAAAATTATGAAACCAAGCTGCATGTGGTGAGTACTAAATTCTTAATGAAGATAATTACAATTAGAAAATTATAACTAGAAAAGTTTTAAAAATTTAAATGTAATTAGAAAATTATAAGTAGAAAAGTTTAAAAAATTAAATACAATTAGAAAAGTATAACTAGAAAAGTTACAAATTTTTAAATATAAAAAATTTAAATATAAAGTTAAAAATTAGATTTGCCCACAGCCTCTGGCTCGGGTCCTGTTTCTAACTAGTCAGGTGCCAGTAACCTGAACGCTGCCCTCTCGAGACTAAGCACAACTGCTGCTTAAAAGCCTTCCAGGCCCCACCTTCAGGCTGGGGAGAGGATCTTGAAGAGAATGCTGACTCTGACAGGCCCAGGTGTGCCCACCTGCTTGCGTTCTCTCAGCTGGACAGAGGGCCATCTCCATCCTGGGCAAGTTTCGTGCTTAGCCTCCCCGACCGTTTTCGTGTTCTGTCCTCTCAGTCAACTGCATTCACTCTCTAAATCTAGCACCTCCTGTGTTCGAAGCACTGCTAGATCCTGCAGCCACAGTGCTGAACAAGACAAGCCCGGTATATGCCCTTCTGGAATTTGTATTCTAGGGAAGGGGAGAGACATTGAACAAGTATGTCATACTGTCTTTCATGCTTTTAAATAATTGTTTTAAATGACAGATATAATGCATGCTTATGGCAACAAATAAAACAATATAGTGGTATATTAAAGAAAAGTTAATATCCTGCCCTATTCCGTCCAGTTCATGATAAAACATTTCATTACAAAAGGGTGTTTATGGGATGGAAAGAGAAGGTTTTACCAGGGACATCGACCTGGACTGAAGGTCAGAGAAGTGTTCACCCAAGAAGTAATTATTAAGTTGGCTTGGAAAGGTGAATATAAGATCATTCCTGGCCCAGGGAATGGCCTGAACAGGGCTCAGAGGATGGAAAGAATGTATCTAGGGCTGAGCACCACTCATGAGGACTGAGAGAGGAACGGGAAGAGCCTGGGGGGCCGGGGCGCCCACACAGAGGACAAGGTGAGTGAAGGACCACAGAGCCTCAGAGGCAGGACCCTGAGGACAGCAGGAGGCTGTAAAATCCAGCGAAGAATTCAAAGAGGAGGGTTCCATACGAGGAAATGGAAATCCCAGAAAACAATAACAGACAAATATTTGGAAGTTATCAGCGGTCTCAGAAAAAGCACTGGAGGAAGAGGAGGATGAGTTGAGTCAATACAACCAACACTAAAGAATTTTTGTCCATTGACTTAATAGAGGCAAGAGTCCACCTTGTTTTCGAGACCAGAAGTCCAGTCAAAGACAATGACAGGATTTCCTCCATTCTGGGGCATACTTTTAAAATTTAACTTTCTTGAAATCAGGATGTGTTTTATAATAATTGTTTATAGATGTAGGGCCTCTTTTTCTCTTCCCATGTAAAGCTGTTATTAAATCAATGGTGTGTTCTCCTGTTTATTGCATCTTAAAGACCAGTAAAGATACACTTCAACAGACTTGAGATGAAGACCTTAATTAATAAACAGGGTCCTTGCTCTCAAGTAGCTGACAGACTCTCAAGACAGATAGATGTAAACAGAGTTCAATGCAATATCCATTGATGGAGAATGATTGCAGTAACTGGGTGTGGGTTGACTCTATTTTTTTTCTTCTGAATTGAAGGAAACATTCTCTTGCTTTAAATACAGAAGTTTCTCTAGACACGTGACCTGATGATTAACTCATTTTTACGTGGTCTCTTCTGTTTGCAGTTGGGTGTTTTCCAATATATACAAACCGTATGTTTAATTTCAATAAGAAGAATAAAAAACACAGATAGGAGATGGGAGAACAGTTTACAGTCATATTAAAAGAGTCAAATTACAAGAGAACGCACTGCAAATAGTGAATGGGCAGGGCTTTTTGTTTTGTTTAAGGAGTAAGTGAAATCTGTAGAAGCTACACATTATTGAAAATTGTGGGGCATGGAAATACCTTGCCTTCCTTTTCTCTTCCTTACATTTAACACAGAGCGTGGCATACACGGGTACTCAGTACATATTTGCTGTATCGGTGTAAAAGACAAATCCCAGTTCTTCTTGTACTCCGAATGGCACAAATTGGTATAGCTCAGGCTGGAAAAGCTGGATAACTTCAAGTCATGAGGACTTCCTGAGAGAGATGAAATTTAAGCTGGATTTAGAAGGAGCATTTTAGGAAAATCGATGGCTGCCTACCTGGGTAAACTTGTTATCCATGCAAATGAAAGTCTTGCTGAGATTATAAAATCAACAGTCATTCACAGGCAAACCTCCTTCCAGAAAGGAGCTGCTGCTATGACTCTGCCCTAATGTCAGTAGACGGTGGGGGTCAGGGTGTGGGTGTCGAGGAGGCTGCAGATTCTAAGGTGAGAGTGATCAGACTAGGTGTCAGCCATGCAGAGGGGAGCGCTACGAGTTTTAAAAATCAGAATGAACTACAACCTTCCCTGACTTGAGGATCACAGCTCTTTTCAGAGTGTTGGCTCTCCTAGTCTGCTTTCTTGCTTTCTGTCTTTTCATAACCAAGGGGTTTGTTAGCCAGTTCCTATCCTCAGGAGGTTGCACAGCACGGCATAGTCTAAAGAGTGTGAATTGAGAATCAAGACAGCTGGTTTCACTAGGAATTTATCCTCCAGGAAAATAATGAAGGAGGTAAAGAAAGGTTTAGCTAGAAAGGAGTCCAACAGTGTTTGCAGTAATGCAAATTCAGAAATAACCTAATATCCCCCAAATAAGCAGTGATGAAGTGGGATCTATAGTGGTTAAGAGATGTGGTACATATATACAATAGAATATAACTCAGCCATAAAAAAAGAATGAAATAATGCCATTTGCAGCAACATGGGTGAACCTAGAGATCATTATACTAAGTGAATTAAGCCAGACAAAGACAAATATTATATGATATCACTTATATGTGGAATATAAAAAAATGATACAAACAAACTTATATACAAAACAGAAATAGACTCACAAACATAGAAAACAAACTTATGGTTACCAAAGGGGGAAGTGGGGGAGGGATATATTAGTAGGTTAGGATTAACAGATACACACTACTATATATAAAATAGAAAACCGACAAGAACCGACTCTACAGCACAGGGAACTATACTCAATATTTTGTAATAACCTATAAGGGAAAAGAATCTGGAAAAGTATATATATGTATAAAACTGTGCTGTACACCTGAAACTAACATGATATTATAAATCAACTATACCTCAATAATAAATAAGTAAATACAAATATTAAACAAACAAACAAATATAGTCGATAAAGAAAAAAAAGTGCAAGGCTCTGAAGCAGACTTCCCGCATTCAAGTCCCCACTTTACCACCTGGTAGCT